GTTAAGTTAGTAGTACGTAGTAGTATATATATATATATATATATATATATATATATATATAGTAAGTAGGATTAGTAAATGGGATTCGCTGGATGAATCTTGAAGGAGATGCGGACCACATGATAGAAGTACAGTTATGTTTTTGCTTCATGAATATGTTTTGTGGGCATTTCTAATAATATCAAGTGTTATTCCTATTTTGGCATTTCTAATTTTTGTAGTTTTAGCCCCGATTAGTCAAGGACCAGAAAAGGTCTCTAGTTATGAATTAGTTATAGAACCACCGGGGGATGCTTGGATACAATTCCGAATCCTCTATTACATGTTTGCCCTAGTTTTTGTTGTTTTTGATGTCGAAACGATTTTGCTTTATCCATGGGCCATGAGTTTCATGGTATTGGGCATATTCGTATTTATGGAAGCTTTCATCATTTATATCGTACATTATCTTTTATTTCACTATAAAAGAAAATCTATAGAATCTCTTTTTCATATTTTTTTTCTTTTTTATAACATTTTACATAATTGTTTAGATTAGAATTCATTTTCTTAATTCTTAACTTGTAGATCTCTCTCCTAGATGGCCGTATAGCCAAGAGAAACCATGAACCTGAATAGAAGAGCTTGCCCCACCCATAAGTAAATATTTCATATTAGCATCATTAGACCATACATTTCTATCGGTATATCCAATAATAGGTAGAAGCATAAATTGAAACGAGCTACAGAGATAGTTATTAAATCGTTAGCACCACATAAAAACATTCCTCCTAGAGTAGCTGTTAATATGAATAATAGAAACTCTGTCATAACCATTTATGTTCATTCAATATACTCTACCAATAGAGGAATACATAGAGTTGAACATAGAAAAATAAAAAATTGAAAGATTTCGTTGAAATCGTTCGTTTGGAAATTCCTGAAAAGCTAATGCTATGTTCCTCTCTCCATCGGAACAATAGTATATATATAATAAGAGGAAGTCATCAAAAAGCATGGAAGAGATGAAATATTTAACATGGCACTCTTTCTTTATTTGAGTTCAAATTGTCCACATTTAATTTTGAAAATTCTTCATAGGGCACTAATGACAAGTTAATTCTAGGTGCGCTACCTTCTAATTATACAACTCCTTCCAAAGTTAAGCTCTATTTTTCTCTCTTGTACCTTCTCTCTCTTTCTACCCCCCTCTTACATTGATCACACCCGTTATTTCATGCTGATCCTCTCTTTATGTCTAGCTCTCTCTGAAACTTTCTCTCTCTAACACTAAGCACCTCTTACCCTTTAATAGTATAGAAAGCTTCTTCTTACAGTTGTCATGTCTTAGCTTTAATTTCGTCCGAGAAGTTCTGAAATTTCTCACCAGAAAATTTCTGGAAAGCTTTGTTTTTTAGGAAATAGATATGTAAGCCTAAAGAACTTGCATTAAAGGATAAAACCAACGTTGGAGAGAGTTTTAGAGGGAGAGAAAATAATAGATGCTTCATGTGAGAGAGAGAGAGAGAGAGATATTTTTGGAGAGAGAAGGCTCTGATAAAGGTAATGGCTGAGCTTAGTGTTTGTGTGTGTGTGTGAGAGAGAGAGAGGGTGGGTGGGGGGGGAAGCATTTTTTATGGAGGGGCAATATTGCAGAGTGCCCCTCCCACCATTTTTTTGGAGATGTGGTAGTTTGTCTATGGGCTTTCTGATACTATTTTAAAAAATGGCAAACTGTTAAATTCTTCATCTTCTTCGTGGGATTTGATAAATTTCTCAACATAGAATGTGCCCCCCCACTTGTTTATTCTTTACGCATACTATTATTTCTCAACATAGAATATGCCCCCCCACTTGTTTATTCTTTATAAATACTATTAAAGAACACTTGATTAGTCGTTCCCAGATGCGGATCATGGTCAAGTGTACTTGTATACCATTGTGCTTTTCTCACTTTGGATTGACTGCCAAATGTGAGTCCATGAATTCAGCTATTTGTGGACTAGTATGCTTGAACAGTTCAGCTTAAATAGAGAAAAGATGTGTTGTTTATTATTACTAGTTTTTAACAAATCATGCCAGTTGGTGTTCGTGTGCCCTTTGTGAATTTCTCAAAGGTTGAGCTTCCCACCACCCCTGAGTTTCCCTTTCCTGTGGAAAATTAACTCATCCAGCATCTTCTTAAACCTGGTAATTGTGGAGGGGATCTGTTTGAGTATTGTACATGCTCCTTGAAACAGACATGGAGAACTGAGAAGTCTACAGGAATAAACAATAAAAAAGAAAATAATTTTAAAAGAGTTAACTGTAAATGAATAAATAGAAAAGGCTTCTAAAAGCGAACTAGTTAGGCCATACAAAGCCCCAAGGAACTTGCTTCAGTACTGAATTCAGTGACTGAAGGTTTAAACTGATGTCCCAGCCATTTAGCGAAGGGCCTTAGTTTTTTTACATATTCCACCTATATTTGAGCTAAATCCTTTTGACGTGTCTTTGTAAGCATGTTTTTGCGATTGAATCTGGAATTGAGGTCATTCTAGACATTGAGACCCAATGGCCAATTCCGCTGCCAAGTTCTACTTCTGAAGTGCGAATTTAAGTTTTTTTCAATAATATGAAACCATGTCTTCCTGGTGTTGCGACAAAGATCGTGCTTAGAGATATCGTAGGAACACCGTTAAGTTTCCCATAAGTGGTCTACATTTTGAAATAAGTATGGGTGCATCTGCTATTGCAGGTATCTAATTCTGGAAGAGTAGCGAATAGCTCCCCAGTTACAAAGAACTCTAATCTGGAAACAGGAAGGTATTTCCTATTTAATAAACTCTTGAAGTCAAATGCAATGTACATGAACTTATATTAGTTTATTTTTATGATTAATGGTTCTTGAGATGCACAATTGAATTGTGGATAGGATTTTGCTAATGATTGGTTTTTTTTCAGGACTTTACTCTCTACTCCTCCTACTGGAATCAGAAGAAGTTTTGTGAGTACCCCATCTTCTTCTTTCAGCTTAAGAAGCGATGAGAGAGCTGCTAAACGTAGAGAGGCAAGTCTCAAATCAGTGCAACATGCTAATTATTGTGTTGCATTCTGAAAAGAATGAGGCAAGCTTTTCCGAAAACATTAATTGCTTTCACTCTTCTCTTTTTGCTTCAGTTTTTTCTAAGACTGGAGGAGAGATCAAATGCTAAAGAGGCTCAGAAAGCACAGCTTCAGGAGAAAACCAAGGTGTGGCGTCACATTTAACATCGTAGTTAGTTTTCTAGTATGGCTGTTCAGCATCTATTGTGTGCGTCTGCACATGCGTGCACGCCTGTGTGTGAGGGAGGGAGGGAAGGAGATATAAGTTCTCTATCCACTTATTTTGTTGTCCATCTCTCAACAGAAAGAAGTGGATTTGGAGCTTAAAAGGCTACGCCAAAGTCTTAATTTTAAGGCAACAACAATGCCAGATTTTTATGGGAGTGTAACAGAAGTAGCAAAGAAGCAGATCAAGAAGGTATGCCATGATATCTTAATGCAACATTCAGCAATTAATCCATTAGGCTATTGGCAGAATTCATAATTCTAGTTATCAGCTGCTCTCAAAGATTATAGTAGTGCTCAAGAAATTGCCTCTACCTCAACTAATTGCTGGTTATTTTTAATCAATTTAAATATTTTAAAATTATATTACTTCTTGATTCTCATAAAAGTATTCCCTTGATTCTTGGTAGTTTCATTGATGCATTTCAATTAATACTTTGAATATTCAAAGTTCTATCAAAGTTGTTCAAAACATTGGTGGTTTAAGTTTTGTATTATGATATGCAAATGTTCTTTGACCCTTGTTTTTTTTTTTTTGATTGTTCAGTGGGATGGGTTCCCCTACCCGTGGTACAATGGAACACAAGGTGTTGTGTTGTGGTGACCCATCTACCTAGCCTTGAGCCCATTCCTAACTGGTACAAAAGTGATTGTATGCAAATGTTCTTTGACCTTGCCTGCTTGATATCTAGATACCTACACATTAAATCGTTTTACGTCTCTGGTTCTGGTTCTAATAGCATTCATGACTTAAGCCTTACCATCATGTTTGTTTGTCTTTTATTCTTTTTGAAAAATAGCTAAACGCGCTCTATGGCCTTTATTTTCTGGTGGCCATTAGTTTTTGGTAAGTTATTTTCTCTTTCTTGATAGTGGCTGTATGCAATATAGAGCACCTTGATATTTGAATATTTGTTATTACTATATCTGTAATATCTATATTTCTATTTACCAGTAATAGAAAAACAGGGATTGTATATTTCTATTTACCAATAATAGAAATGCAAGTTACTAATTTTTAGTAATGAGAATTATATTTGTCCAAATTATAGCATTCTAACCAGAGCTAGTTTTGCTGATTCATATTTTGGTCAAATTCATTTGCTTCTTGATTAATACTTGCAATTGATTCTCCAAGTGTCTTGGGATCCTCAACCTTTATGTATTATACATTTCAGTTTCCACTAGGGTGGTTTTAAGCATTTTTACTAATTGATTTTCCTAATAACTGTCTATTCGTCTGTTTCAAGATCAATTTTTATCTACTATGCTTGTGCATATTTACCTTTCAGGTTAATTATATTCTCAATATCATAAAACCTGTATCCTTATGAATTAAGTTATTATTCTACAAATATAAGCTACTATTTTCGAACCTGTATGCTGATCGTTTAACATAGCAATGAAACATGAACCATAGAGCCCAACTTCTTATAAAAGGTAAATTTGGCTTTTAATAATTCTCGTGGGGGTTATCATTTCCTTCAATAAGTGTTCCATTTAAATAATTTCCGGGTTCTAAAGCTTTGAGCAAAAATAAAGTCGGCATCTTTCTTGAATCATACAATTAAAGTTATGAAATTGGGTGATGAATGTACACTCTGTTTGTTCAGATCCCTTTGACACGGCCTGTATCGCCCAAGCTGGGGAGGAAGCTCCATTCCAAAACAACCTTGGGCCTAGAGTCTTCTCGTCCTCCAAAGCCTACTAATACCAAGAGTGGTGGTTCTAAGGTTGCTTCCAAGAAGAGCCCCATTGTAGAGAAGCAGACCGGTTTCAAGTGATGTAAAAATGAGAGAGAGAGTGTAATGGTTTTGGTGTCCTTTGGCTAGTGTTAGTAGCTCCATCTTAATTCTTGTATTTCTCATTGGAATGCAATCCAATATATGTTCTTCCCCTTTTCGAGGGTGAAATTTTCAATATATATTTGGCATTTTCTTCTTACCATCCATGATGTCTTTGGAAAATTTCAAGTGCTGAATGAAGACAAAATGGGAATAATAATAAAAAAAGGCTGGATATTCATTTCGTGAATGAAAGAAAGCCTTAATAAGCTGGGTGATGGAAAATGTTTGAAACGTAATATATGAAAAGCCAGGGGAATGTACCTATGGTTTCAGATTTCTTTCCATTTTTACAGGAGAAATAACTGAAAGGCAGCCTGCACAGTGTTGTCTTGTTCACTTGCTGGTAAGTTAATTTGGGCCCTGACATTTGAAAAATTTAATGTTCTTGAAAAATTTTCTAGGAAGTTGAAAAAGAATGAAATTGCAGCTTTTCAAAGAAAATAGTTTGTAATTTAAAGTTATGTTTTATAGAGAATTTGTATTTCTCATGTTTATAACTTCTCACAATTTCGTTATATATATATATATATATATATAGTAAACCTTACAATAGTTGGGTAGCTATAATGAATAGTAATATAGGTGAAATTCCAATCGTCAGATTTTCATTATGTGGTTCTGAATGTATATCACCATATGAATTTTAATTTTTTTTATAAATCCGACTTAGAGGAAATTTTAGGTGTATATACGTAATATTATTGTCCATCATATAAAAATATAAAAAAACTATTTTCAATAATTTAAATTGATCAAATTACCCTTGTCATTTTTTAGGGGTATTTTGGTTATTTTATATTTTGAGAAATATTTTTTATATATTTTTTAATTGTGCGCCTTATTTTTTAATACGCATTTATAAAATTTTATGATAATCTGATTTTTAAAAAAAAATATTAAAATTCATATGATGATATACATTTTGAACCACATGATGAATATTTGACGGCTTTTATTTCACCTATATTAGAAGTCATTATAATTGCCCAGCTATTGTTAGCTTTTGCTATATATATATAGGAAAAAGCTGAGATGAACATATGAGCCCAACGTCTCATATTGAATCTAAGTTGATATGATAGTCACGACTTTATTTTGTGTTTGAACTTTGATTCTTTTTCTACAAATCCAGTTCACTTGAAATTTTCGGTGTGTATTCTTCTCATCAAGGCACATCTAAATAAAAAAAAAAAAAATATTCGTTAAAAATAAATGACCAAAATACCCCTAAAATGTTTGGAGGTATTTTGGTCAATTTATTTCATGTAAAATATTCTTTTGATATTTTTTGAAGATTCAACTATTTTTTATGAACACACTCTTAAAATTTTAAGTGATTTGAATTTGTAGAAAAAAAATTTAAAATGCAAATACCACCGGATATCTGTGATCGTCAGATCAGTTCAGATTCAATTTTGGTCGTTAGGCTCATATGTTCATATGAGCTAGTAGGCTAATCCCAACTTTTTCTATATATATAGTAATGATCTTATGAGACCCTCCTACACCCATGCGTGTAGGACCCAAATGATCAT